ATTCAGTATGGAATCTATTAACAAAGACTAATTCCTACTTCAACATGCTGTACATTGTTTCACATGGCAGTTAGCAATTCTGAGAGCCTGATTAGTTCAGAAACGGACCACACTGCCTGAACCCCACTGGGACATGTCTTGAGACATCAGCAGCATTAGGCACTAGCAGTGTCTCAGTACGCGCTGGGGAACAGCATAAGCGAAGTGGTCACCTACAGGCACAGAAGGAAAGACTCTGGGAGATGTGGTTTCATCAGTGCAGAAAGTAAGATACATATGAAGTAGTCTCTTATGCTCATTCTTAAAAGGTCCTCATGCAGTTCAGCAGAAAAAAGATACACTGATTGCTTTAACTGAAACTCTAGCACCACCTTGTAGCGGATTTCACATGTAATACCACAAGTGTTCAATGAATGAATTATGACATAGGAACTGCAGTAACACAGCTGAAAACCTGCTTGCTCCATTGAGCAATGCAACCTTTAGCAGAAAACTAGCCAAAAGGTAATTAAGCTTGGATTTATTGCCAATGAATGGGCAACATGAGGAATTTCACTATTATTAGTAGGAAATAATCTACTGAAAAGTCATATACCCATCAGTCTCAACAAGTAACCTCTAATTTCAAGTCTTGCTCAGGCAGTAGCCACCTTGCAAAAACACAACACAGGTTAATTTCTAAACTCCTTTTTTATACTAAAGTTCTGAGTCTCAAAGATACTGCTTTCTGTCTTATTACTGACAAGTTTCATTATTCAAATCCAAAATAATTTACAGACTTTCAGAATTAGGGGACTTTAAAAAAAAAACCAAACTCAGAAACTATACATGAACAAACTGATCTTCTTAGTTTTAGGCATACCAGACAGGAATGGAAAAAAAAAAAAAAAAAAAACCCACAGCAAAAAGACCCCACTAACCAAAAGAAGTCATTTAGTGCTGACAGCAACAGTTGTTTTTACTTAAAACTTGAGGCAGTAATTTCAGGATAAAATTTATTATTTTCCTCACAGGACGTTTACATAAATATTCCCCAGTCCTAAACAGCTGGGTTTTTTTAACCAATATTTCATTAGAATGGATACCCTTACTTTCCCAGGTTAATTGCAAACCACCATTTTAAAATTTCTTCTGCAATTCATCAGGATAAGAATGAAGATATCTTAAGTCCCTACTCAAGGTCAACATTAACAAACTTTTTAAAATTTGAACAATTCTTCAGCACATCTCTGAACTGCTATTTATACTCCAAAACAAGTGTTTTGGAAAAAAAAAAAACTTTAGAACTGCAGTAAGAAAAGCGATTGATTAATATGTTAAAGCACTTGTCTTAAAACTTCTTCTCACCATCATTCCATCTTCATTTTCTGGCAAGTTGCAACACATTTTCATATGCTCTGCTTCTGACTGCATCATAAGCATCTGCAGCCAAAGATTCATAGGAATATACACAACTTGAGAGACCAAAATGCTTTGTCAAACAAAAAATGCTGTCCTCAGACCACTCATACATAAACAGTTTGCATTCTTACATATCCCAGGTAGTATCTGTCAAAATCAGGCTTCCTCTCACAAAAGCACCTAGTCCACAACATGCTTTGCCGCTGCAAGACACAGTGCATACTCCGTAACTTAGGAAATGTTTTAGAAATAAACACCAAACTGTTGGCTTTTTGAAGTCAAATGTTTGTTTCCTGCACCATAAAATTGTAACTAGAATCTTGGATTTCTGGCTCAGACTAGTGTTTTGCAGCATTGCTCTTTTTAGTAAGAGACAAAAAACTGAATGCAAACAAAACTAAGTTACCAAATAAAGTGCTCCCTAGGAATGAATACTATGTAAATGAAAATCCACAAGAGACAAGATTTCAAAATATTTATTTCACCCATTAAATTAAAGACTGACAAAACAGTGTTTACTGTTATCAAGTTAATTTTCACCTAAACTATTTTATGACTGCCTCTCCCCATCAAGCATCTTTTTGAAGTGATCACTCAATTTTAGGGCCTTTGATTACTGGTAGGGGGGTGGAGGCAGACTGTCTGCAACTTCTCAACGTGTTACTAGTTTAAGTAATTAAATATAAATATCAAAATTGTGGTACCTAGATCTTTGTCATTTCCTATGGGAGTTAGAAAAGTTTTTATTAACCCTCAATATCCTTTCACCCTGTGTTCATTTTTCCCCCTAAAACAGATCAGGCTGCAGAATCCTAAAATCTTTATTCAATTATCTCCCTATTTTGGGGGTTTTGTTTGTTTATGTGTACACATACATGTGTATATATACTCTCTCTACAGAAACACACAGGGTAAACATTCTATTTCACTTAAACACAATTTTTTAAATACACTGTGACTTCTTTTGGTTACTCCCAATCACAGAGCTACCTCAATCTTGCTTGCTGTGCTCCAATGCTACGGTTGAAAGAAGAGGCTGGGCAGGAAGAACAAGTGTTCTGTATCCATGTGAGAATATTGGTATTTCCATATCCACCTACTTTGAAAAAAGATCCCAGAAAAATAGAAAAACTATAAGCAAGCTCCAGAACTGCCCATGGGGACTACTGCCAGACCCCTTGCCAGAAGAAAAACCTCCAAGAACAACGCTGCTAGTGGACATATTTATGAAATCCTAATGAACACATCTGACTTCTACCTATTTGGCAGAAAAGTAGCTCCACAGGCAAACAATTTCAGATTATTCAAAACATAATTTAAAAAAATTCAAGTGTCACTGAAAAAAAATGTATTTATTTGTATCTCAAGAGACTTTATAAACACTCCTCACACACCACTAATCATCAATTTCAGCTACAGGTACTTTTATCTTCTTGTAAAGATTAAATCATGAATATTGCACGGAGCAGCTTGAATGCTTCAGCAGAAATAGTATTTTAACATTATGTTTCACAGTCCAAAAACTACCAATTATTCCCATCAGATTAGCACACAAACATAAGCACAGAGCTGATGTAGCAAATGTGTTTGAAAAGCAGAAAGAAAAGATACAAGTCACTTTAAAATATCACCAGCATCAAAGCAAGATCACCCTTGCCCACAACCCCCAGGCAAGGAAAAAAAAAAAATTATACATATTTCTCTCTTATGCAATACACGTGTTAAACAACCTACAAAACGGCTTTAAGTAACAACTTTTTTTAAAGGTTTAGAGGTTCCACCCTGTGTTTGAAAATACAAAAAAATAATGACCTACAATTTTGTTAAAGGCAAGAAACATGCAAGCTTAATTGTCTGAGCATGCAACAGAAGTAAAAATAGCCTGAAATAACGCAAGTCTATACGTTGTAATTATAGGCTTATGTTGAACGATAAAAATCTGACAAGGTGGCAGGAATCAAAGCAGTAAGTTACTTGTTCAACATTTCAGATCACACATCTTTCTGTTCTTTCAAAACCCTAGTTGAACGGTTTCTTTCCTTCTTCTTCTGTTTTAGATTATACAAACTTTTAAGTGGAAGCAGACTAGGGACTATTAATAAATTTACCTCCTTCCTTTTTCTTTTCAACTAGATATCTCTATATAATAGAAATATACCTCTAAGTGATGCTCCTTAATTTCCAGTTATGTGAAGATGCATCAAGAGAGTAATTTCTAAAGCTAAAAATTGATCATCAGTATTCCTGGAGTCTGAGACTACTACTTTTTGTTGTTCATAAAATGAATTTGAATATGTAGATTGTCATATCCTCAAGAAACACATTACTTCTTGCAATTATTTCTTCTTATTTGCTTAATCTTTAAATTAACTTTTACAGTAGTCAGAGTGCTGACCTCAGTATTCTGCAACTATGAGAGCAGAGCAAATTACCAACAAAATTATATTTTGCATCACTTTTTTAGGATAATAAGTAATGGGAAAATGAGAGTTCAGAAATTTCCCAATTAGTCAATTAGCATTTTAGAACTGAACAAATGCTCAAGTAGCTTCACAAACAGTAATCCACTATATGACAGCAATGCCGCTGAAGGTAGTGGTGGTGTGGGAGTGGGAATAACTACACAAATCAACCCCATTTCCTTCATTATTCTTGGCCACATACCTTCCTCACTTTTGCTAGCACAAGTGTCTGTGCTACAAATCATACCAAGAAACCTCTCTGGGTTAATGTTTCCTCCACCCCAACCAGGTTAATCTCAGGAAACTGTTTCACTTTCCCAATCCAGTTCTCCACACAACTACTAGGAAGCTGTATGGAGCAGTAACGCAACCACACTGCATAGGCAGGATGGAGTTTCTTCTTACCGTAGTGACAGATAAGAGGATTTGTAGTACTGCAGACTAAAATATAGACTTTCTAATTTTTGCTGTCTGAAGAATCTCCCTGGAGAGCTTTCATTGACCTGTGCTACAGACTACTTTTTCTTTCTCAACATTTCTTTCAACAGTCTCTCCCTTTCGCCACTTTTCCATTAAGCTACATAGCATCTGGGGCCTCTGGTATCTTCCTTCAACCTGCTGCCATCCCCTCTCCTCATCTTCTTCAGTCAGTGCACTTCAACTCCACTTCTACTCAATTATATAATCTGGAAAGTGAACATTTGCTACTATACATTGCATTTTATTTAGCAACTCTGGATTACACATACAGCATGCACAAAGATGGCTTTCTGCCCAAATATTCCATGGCTTGCCACTCAGACACAACAAAAAGATTTAGAATTTTAAGAAATCTCTTTATGCAAACCTTTATGGTAATTTCAACACGAACTGGTACATTGCAACTGTCCCTGACAAGAACAGGTAAGGGCCAGAAAGGAAAGCATGACATTACACAGTACAGAATCTTTTGTGAAATCCTGCTGCCATACAGAGATTTCATAATTTCCTAAAGAAAAATAAAGAACTCTCAAAGAACTCTTGGGTAACTTCCATTTTAAGAAGCCACAAATTAAAAGATAAGCATCACAAGCTAAATATATCTAACACAAAGAAGGGCATGAAGTCTCAAGAATCTATTAAATAGTCCAAACTTACTTCATCAGAAGCAGAGCGAAGACACTGGACAGCAGCCTGTTTTTTCATTTCCTCTAGTGTTAGATCAGAGCACTTTTTC